CTAACTTCCTTGTTAGCTTTCTTTAGGCTGGCCACCCTTGCCAGTTCTTATTTCCTGGGTGCTGTGCTAAGAGTCTCTCCTGGTGTTCTTGCCGGCACTGTAGGCTCTGGACAGGCACTGACTCCCTACCTCTTAGCTCTGGGAGTTGGCGCCAACGGCGAATCTACTCTCAGTTCTGGCTCTGCTGGGCCTCCTCTCCCTGGAGCCACAGCTGGGCCTTCCCTGCTCCTTCTTGGAGGGCTCCAAGACCCAGCCCTCCCTTTGTAGAAGCTATTCATCTGCAACATAATGGTAAAAGATTACACGAAGAACGTTTCCTGTATATATGGTATTTATTTAAACACATTAGGGCTGGCTGCATTGCCTGGTGTTTAGAGCAGCTGGATTCCCTGTGGTCAGCTGCATAGTCCTGTTCTGAGTGGCTTGAGAAACATGCTGGGTGCATGTGCATGCATCCTCAAAATCCTAAAGGGAGGGAAAGATAGAAAGGAGATTGTGGCATGATCGTGGGGGGGGGGGTTGCTTTCTCACTTTCCCTCTTTTTCCGTATATGGCCAGTTGTAGTTCTAAGCAGAGGTTCCAGTTTAATACCATTCCTTTTGTTTTAATAACTATTTATTTTATTTTTTATTTGCTGTAGGGCACGTGTGCTCACCAGAGAGAGAGGGAGAGGGAGAAAGCAAGCTACCAGGTCCGGGGCTTGAACTGTGGTAGTCCAGTGCATTAACCATGCCACCTGCTGGCCCCAACACCATTCTTTTTTAAAGCTGAACTTAATTTAGAGCCAAAGCTGGACAGCATCATCGAGGTGTCATGAGTCATTCCAGGAAACAGGTGACTCTGCAGCTATCTTTATGCCAGGTGACAAGTTGGTGCTCATAGCTGAGGCTGCAGGGCACCTGCCTTTTTGTTCTTAAAGGAAGCTCTTAATATTTAAAAATGGTTTCTAAAATTATGAAAGTTTTTTCATGTCATAATTAGACATGTTTTCTGCATTCTTCTCTCACTTGCCTGGCTTCAGTCAGCATATTTTTCTAGCCAAGCCCGCTTCTGGTGAGTGTGTGTGAAAAGCAGCAGCAGTGTGGACCTCCTACTCTGTGGGCCCAGTGTCTCTTCCCAGAAAGATGCTCTTGTTGTGGAAAAGTGCATAGTGACTCTGCCCAGCTGCACTTAGGCACGGAGAACAAGAACTGATTTAGAGGAAGGCAAGCCCTGAGCTGCGAGGCATCTCTGCAGCCTGTGGGGACATGCAGGCAAATTCATTTATTAGACGCAGTCGTTATAGAGTGGTGACTTGCTTTGCGTATTTACACGGGTTTCTCTGAGGCCAGTGACTGCTGATTTTAGAAAACAGTCTTCCCTTGGCCATCTTTAGCTCTGTGTTGTAATATAGTTCATTATTTTTTAAAGGAAAGTTTGTGTTTCAGCAAAGTTTTAGCATGTAATGGTCAAGAATAGGATAAAACAAAAGTGACGGTCTACACTTGAACGGTGTCGTCACAAGTTTTGCTGCAGGGTATGTGTGCTCACGAGGGAGCGAGGGAGAAATGACCCCAGGGAAGACGGCCACGTGCAGTCCCTTCTCCGGTCTCTGGACTGAGGGCATGCACACGCACCGTGATCTCCAAGCCTCCAGCTCCGAGGCGCAAACCGCACGTCCGCCGAGTAGGGTCGCCATCCCGCCTGCTGGTCCAGGCTTTTACTTTTACCACTCGAAGATAGATGAGCTACCAGAGAGTATAAACTGGGCTTTCATAGTGAGTTACGTTACTGAGGCAGAGCCCGAATGGGTTTTATAATATTCTTTGGTCCAGATTGGGATGTGATTCGGAATTGCCTGAGGACGAGCTCCTATAATTACAGAGCCTCACCTCACACTCAAGGCGAGACCTAGTGGTCTTACTGTTTGATCAGGAATGTTTTTGTGTATGCACATGGATATGTGTGTGGGTGCAAGTGTGTGTAGCACACATCTTTCTTGAGGCTTGGATCTAGTGAACTTATTGTTAGATTAGGAACAACTTCATGTGAGAGCATACATGTGTGTTTTCGTATGCATGTGCAGCTGTGCATGTGTGTGCCCCAGTGTGCCACAGGCGCACACATTCTCATCAGTTTGCACCTAGTGGGCTTAACATCTGGTTAAGAACATCTCCGAGTGGGACCAGCAGTTAGCATAATGGCTATGTTGCTGGACTCCCATGTAGTCGACTGCGGTTCGCGTCCTGGATCCAGTGGCTTAAACTCACGCCGGGCGCATGTGCGTGCGTGCCCAAGATCCCGAGAAGAGAATGGAGGAGAAGGGATTGTGGCGTGGCCATCCCCCCGGGGGGTGATTTCTCGCTTTCTGTCTCTCTCTCTGGCTTTCTGGCGAGCGCACGCGCCCTATAGCAAAAACTTCTCCAAAAAGAGAAAGAAAAAAAAAAAGGACATCTCCATGTATGTGCTCATGTGATTGCCTGTGCGTGCACGTGAGTACGCCGTCATGTGCACACACATCCCTTAGCGGTGTGGGCCTGGAGGACTTAATGTTGGAGTGGAATGTCTCCTATGAGTGAGTGTGCCCTGCCAGCACGCGTGCCAGCCTCGTACTGGAGCACGGAGGTGGAAGAAGTGCCAAGACTCACTTCGTGAGAGCCAGGATCCAAGGCCAGTTGCATTTCCACACCTGCAGCTGGAGGCCGTGAAGATAAGGAGGTCAGGCTGACTGTGGTTGGTGAGGCTGTGCCCCTCCCCCGGTGGGCAGAAGCGAGTGGCCCTAGGCTGTGCTAGCACCCGCTGGCCAGTCGGCCCTGGCACTCCCGGGGTCACCTCGTATGCATGTGCAGCTGTGCATGTGTGTGCCCCAGTGTGCCACAGGCGCACACATTCTCATCAGTTTGCACCTAGTGGGCTTAACATCTGGTTAAGAACATCTCCGAGTGGGACCAGCAGTTAGCATAATGGCTATGTTGCTGGACTCCCATGTAGTCGACTGCGGTTCGCGTCCTGGATCCAGTGGCTTAAACTCACGCCGGGCGCATGTGCGTGCGTGCCCAAGATCCCGAGAAGAGAATGGAGGAGAAGGGATTGTGGCGTGGCCATCCCCCCGGGGGGGGATTTCTCGCTTTCTGTCTCTCTCTCTGGCTTTCTGGCGAGCGCACGCGCCCTATAGCAAAAACTTCTCCAAAAAGAGAAAGAAAAAAAAAAAGGACATCTCCATGTATGTGCTCATGTGATTGCCTGTGCGTGCACGTGAGTACGCCGTCATGTGCACACACATCCCTTAGCGGTGTGGGCCTGGAGGACTTAATGTTGGAGTGGAATGTCTCCTATGAGTGAGTGTGCCCTGCCAGCACGCGTGCCAGCCTCGTACTGGAGCACGGAGGTGGAAGAAGTGCCAAGACTCACTTCGTGAGAGCCAGGATCCAAGGCCAGTTGCATTTCCACACCTGCAGCTGGAGGCCGTGAAGATAAGGAGGTCAGGCTGACTGTGGTTGGTGAGGCTGTGCCCCTCCCCCGGTGGGCAGAAGCGAGTGGCCCTAGGCTGTGCTAGCACCCGCTGGCCAGTCGGCCTTGGCACTCCTGGTGTCACCGTGGCCTGCGTGGGCATGGACTGCCTGAGATTCAGCTCCACTGTGGAAGCTTGCTCTCCGATGAGGGGGTGACGGCCTTCGCATGTGCTGGCAGATAGGCAGTATGAGGGACGGGGCTTGGCTGTGGCATGTCTCTGGGCTAGCGTTCCTGCTTCAGAAGGAATTGGGTTCAGAGAGCTCGAGGCTGGGTTTCGTCTGTTTCTTAAGGAAACCTGGGTTGGGGCTGGGGCCTCCGGGAGGGCTCCAGATGGGTCCTCTGTGTCTCCTCACGGGTTTCTCTAGTCCTGCATGGATGGCATCTGGGTCTCAGTGACACCAGACTGGTGGGCCACAGGCTCGGCGCCTGATCACATGGCTCGAAGTAGTCCACTTGTTGTTCTGACAGGTGCTTCTGGGCTGTTGTTAGCACCACTGTCTGTGGGACCTTTACCACAAAGCCCTGAGGTGCCACGTGCATAAAGCCCTGCAGCGCAGCCAGGAGTGCCCTCGCTCTCCGCCGTGGCCCCATGCGTCTGCCACCTTCCGTGCGGCTCTCTATCCCCAGGCACAACTCTTTACTTTCACAAGTTAGCACTGGAATACTGAGTGGCAAGTGGCAAGGGGCCTCTGGACAGGTTTACAAAATCACGATTCAGCAGTGTGCAGAGTGCAACTTCTGAGCTGCCTGCCGTGCGTGGGCCCTGCGCGTGGCCTTGCTCAGCCCCGAAGTGGAGACAGGGGCTAGCCACACATACGTGTCGAGGCCTCGTTAGCCAAGAGCTGGTTTCAGCTGTAGAGCAGTTTACACGGAACAGTTGTGTTTTATAAACGCGAGGGAAAGGACCCTGTCTGTGTTTCATTCCTTTAATGTCCACTGGGATGTCTCGTCTTGCTGAAATCTCAGGTGAGACTGAGGTACAGGGATGCCCATCTGGTTAAAGGCAGAGGGACACGTGAGGTGTTCAGAAGACACAGCTGTAAACGCCAGCAGGAGTCGAGAAACCTGGAAAATGCAGACCGTAGCCCCTGTGTGCAGAACTGGCCATTAGGGGCCGCCGTCCAGTGTGGTGGCAGGGTGCTGGATGCTGATGTGGCCAGCTACACTGAGTCCAGACCTGGCGGCTTGAAAATCGCCTCGGGCATAGGTGGGTGTGCGTGCCCAAAGTCTCAAGAGGAGACTGGAGGAGTGGTGTGGCCATGCCCAGGAGGGTGCTTTCTCACTTTCCTTTTCTCTGTCTCTTTCTCCAGAGAGCTCATGTGCCCTAATGGCCAACATATCTTTTTTAAAAACTTGAACATTATAAAGTGGTGTTTTTAATATTGAACATCAGTCCCTAAGGATTTCTAACATGCTGAGGAGGGTCATGGGCTAGCCTAAGGAAGCCTAGGAGATGCTTTCAGTTCACGGTGGTTTTTGTCATTTTTTTTTCCGTCGCGGTGACACAGCCAGACCAAATCCGTTTGGAATGCCTGGGATGGTGCCACCATACGTCGGCCCTCAGATGCTCAACATTCCACAGACCTCCCTGCAAGCCAAGCCCGCGGTAAGGCCTTCCCTGTGCCGGGTCGGGTGGTGGGCAGCGTGCTCGTTTGCACCAGCACTGAAGCGATGTCCCGAGGCGTTGGCTGGATAGAGGGAGCAGCAGCGTCTGCTGCATTCAGTCAGGTGGTCGGGCTGCATCAGGTCCTTCGGCAGCGTGTGCATGACCTGTACCCTTTGCTTCAGGCCCCGCAGGTGCCCAGCCCTGGGGGCGCCCCGGGCCAGGGTCCGTACCCCTACGGCCTCACTGAGCCACCCCTCGCTCTGGACGCCAGCGGGAAGCAGCTGCCGGAGCAGAACAGCTACAGCAACATTCCTCCCGGAGGGAAGCACACGCCCCTGTACGAGCGCTCCTCGCCCATCAACCCGGCCCAGGGCGGCAGCCCCAACCACGTGGATTCCGCCTACTTCCCCGGCTCGTCTACGTCCTCGTCCTCCGACAACGACGAGGGCAGTGGAGGGGCGGCTGCAAAGTGAGTGTGCCGGTCACCTCAGGCACCGCTGCCGCAAGAAGCTGCCCCCTGGGCGGCCACGCGGGCCTTCTGCTTGGACCGCACATGGCAGCATGTAGGTGGTGGCCCTCTGCTCCCGGAGGCCAGGGCCAGCGCAGGCACGTCCTGTGAGGTTTCGGCCACCACAGTCTGTCCAAGTCCAGCCCCGTGGCAGAGCTCTAGGAATCCTGGAGCGGAGTTGACAAGATCTGGCTTGTGTGCTGACCAGACCGTGTGGGCCCGCCCGGTTGGCAGCGGCCCTGAATTGGGGTGTTCTGAATCTCCCCTCCTAACTCACAGCTCACAGGACCATTCCTGAAACAGCCCTGGTGACCCACCCAGAGCCATAGAGGTGCCCAGGCCAGGAAGGGCTGTCTGCAGAGAGGAGTGCCCTGAGGGTGTGGTCCCCAGCCTCAGCCTGTTAGCTGACGGAGATCGCCAGTGTGTACCCTCCCCTCCCAACTGCTGTTTCAGGAAAAGAAAGAGAAGAGAGTAAGCGCAACATGGCCCTCAGTCCGGTCCTTGTCCCCTGGTTGGAGCTCCACTTCACGGGGCAGGAGCCAAGGCCAGTTCTGCCAGGCCGGCAAGGTCCTGTCTGTGCTGTCTCACTGGTGCGTCACCTGGAGCAGGCAGCCCCCCAACGTCCTGCACGAGTGTCCGCTGACCTGGGAGCAGGGCCTGCGTGCATCAGCCGCCCTGCCCGCGCATGGCGGAGTTGTCAGCACTGGCCGGTGCTCCTCTGCTCAGCGCACACTCCTCGGCATTATTATAATACCCCAGCCTCAACCTGACCCGCTAGCAAGGGAGGTGTAGGTCTGCCAGGTCAGAAACTTGCACCCCAGGCAGGCGTTGCGTGCTGACTTTCACAGCTGCCGCCTGCTCCCAAGCCCTAAGGCACAATGCTTTTCTTTTAAAAATTGACTCATGCCAGCAAAACCAAGGCTCTGGACAACCAGGTTCACTGTAATAAGAACGTCCTTTCTCAACCCTGAAGTGCAGGTAAGACGCGGGCAGAAAGCCAGAGACGTCGTTCCATGACTCAGCCCGTGCAGGGGTAGACATGGCACCCAGGCCAGGTGCTGGCTCGGGGAGTGGGTGGTGACGCGGGGCGGCTCAGTGAGGGTTGTCCTGCTCCTCGGGCAGGAATCTGGAAGATTTATCCGTCTCACCTGGCAGGGAGGCCGCAGCAAGATGAGGCGCCCCAGCTCCTGCCCTCTTTCCTCCGTGTTGGGCTCTCCCACTCGTCCGGGTTTCAGACCGCCTTTCGCAGCTCCTGGCAGTTCTGGGCTTTTTCTCTGGACTCTCGCAGCTCTGATAGTCTCTCTGGAGGAGTGTCTGGTTCTGCCGTTGGAATGGGAGTGGCTGGCGTTCAGTGCCTTCCCGTCACTATGGCGTGACTTGTCGCGACACACAGTGCACAAACACCTGGGTCTAAGGACAGACTCAGGTTGGGCAGCTCGGCAGGCAGCTTCACTTCCTTGTCTGCTTTCCCGTCTCGTGTAGCACGTGAGGAGTGGAGGGAGGCGGAGGAGGTGAGGTGCCTGTCCCTGAAGGCCTCGGGGTTGTACCAGGTGGTGCTGGATGTGGGTCCCCCTCGACCGTGTCCTCCGCTGGTGCCAGGTCCGTCTTGGATCCACGGGTGCGGCAGGTGCCGTGCAGGTCCAAGCTTGTGCTCCAGCGTGCTTTCGGGCTGTTGGGTGCAGTGGAGGCAGTGTGCTGAGGCAGCTGGGCTCCTGCACAGGATGACAGAGGCCCTGCTCAGTTAGAACTCAGGAGGACAGTACACGGACGTCAGAATTCTTTTGTATCAAAATAAGCTGGCACTTCAGTTTTTCCACAAACCTTTAAAAAAAAATGCTGTTGGGTGTGTGCTCGTGAGAGAGAATGAGAAGGAAAGCACCTTTTCCCTTCATTTGTCCATGTCAGTGTGTGGGGCACACACGCACGACACTCAGCATGGTTTAAGTCCCCTCTTAGATGCGTGTTCACCCTCTGAGAAGAGCAAAGGATGCAGCTTACAACATAGCCATATGTTTTTGTCACCCTATGGAGTTGTCAGATGTTTTTAACGCACAGCGTGGCAGGGATGGGATGGAGCTGGTGGGACGCAGAGGGTCCCCCCCTCACCCTCAGCCTGCCCGACCTTGCAGGGAGCCGTAGGTGTCTGAGGGTCCTGGTCACTTTGTATGAAGGTTTTCTCCGTCCTCATGGGAAGGTGGGTTTAGGGAGTACACTAGGGCCACCCTGGTTGAGTGGAAGGCTGTTTCCCCGCACCTCAGAGAATGTTCTGGCACATGAGCAAGTCCTAAGAGGCCCCCCGCATAGTGGCAGTGAGGACAGCGGCAGCCTGGCGCAAGGCTGGGGCTGGCGCACAGTTCAGGCCCCGGCGTCTCCTTCCTCCTGTGCCGAATTCTGTTCTTTCGTCCTTCCCTCCCCTCCCCTCCCC